CTGCATATTGATTACTTATATGTCAGTCACCCTGTTTGGTGTTTGTTCTATATTTAACATAATGCCCTTTTAAGGTAGACGCTTTTTCTTTTTTTTCTTTTTTTTTTTCTTTTTTTTATTTTTTGACAGACAGAGTGGACAGTGAGAGAGAGAGAGAGAAAGGTCTTCCTTTGCCGTTGGTTCACCCTCCAATGGCCGCTGCAGCCGGCGCGCTGCGGCCGGTGCACCGCGCTGATCCGATGGCAGGAGCTAGGTACTTATCCTGGTCTCCCATGGGGTGCAGGGCCCAAGCACTTGGGCCATCCTCCACTGCCCTCCCAGGCCACAGCAGAGAGCTGGCCTGGAAGAGGGGCAACCGGGACAGAATCCGGCACCCCAACTGGGACTAGAACCTGGTGTGCCAGTGCCGCAAGGCAGAGGATTAGCCTAGTGATTCGCGGCGCCAGCCCAGTAGATACTTTTTCTAACCAGCAGTAAAAGAATTGAAGACCAGAGAAGTTAACTAAATTACTTAAGGGCACAGATCTAATAGTGGCAGAGCCAGAAGTTTTAAAACTCCTTGTGTTTCAGTAGGTCTATAACATTAGAAAAGCATTATAGAAAAAGGAATTTAGAAGAAATATATGGAAGTGAGCTTTTGGCCTAGTGATATGATGCCTTTGTCTCATTTCAGAGTACCTGAGTTCAAGCCCCAGCTGTTGCTCTTGATTCCAGCTTCCTGCTGTTGCAGACCCTAGGAGACAGCAGTGATTGCTCAAGTAATTGGGTCCCTGCCACCTAGGTGGGAGATCTAGATTGAATTTCGGACTCTTGGCTTAGGTTCTTGCCCAACTCTAGCCATTGCAAACATTTAGGGAGTGAGCTAGTAGATGAGCTCTTTCTGTCCCTATCTCTTGACTATATATATATATGTATATGTATATATGTATATGTATATATATATATAAACACACACATATATATGCATATACATATATGCAGATGTAGATGAGCACAAGATAGGTTAAGGAATGGTAATAAACTTCTTCGATTGGAACAAAAGATGACAGAAATATAGTGAAAGATGAAATTGCCAAATACAGATTGAAAGCAAATTGTATATCATCCTCAGTATTGGACTGGAAACTGAGACTTGACCTCTGTAGGCTGTAAGGTTTCATTGGAAATTTGGAAGACAGAGTAACATAATCAGAGAAATCCTGTGGGTGTGCACAGCACTTTGATGGGGAGAAGGACTCTAGGAATGGGAAGTAGTTAGAATGAAAGGAAGCTAAATTGGCTGGTTAGTGGAACTGGAATTCCTGGGAGCAGTTACATTAAAGTTATCAGAACGCAGGGGTGGGGAATATCTGCCACATATAAGGCCGACAAGATTATTTGGTCTTACCTTGCCAAGGCAATGTCAAGTGGAACTCAAATTTCAGTAAATCTATCGCAGGCTAATTTTTAAGTTGATCATTTTATATGGCTTGTGAATGATATTATAAATATCTAAATTGCTCTTGGCAGAAAAAAAGTTCCCCACTCCTGTTAATCAGTATGAGTATGAGACTAATAAATATCATTTGCAATGGATATTAAGGAGATAAAAATACTTATTTTTATCTTTATTCTATTTTTTTAAAAGTGTTTATTTGAAAGGCAAGCAGAGTGATTGAGAGAGTGAGAAACAGAGAAATCGATCTCCCATCCTCTAGCTGATTCCTCACACTCCCAGAATAGTCAGAGCTGGGAACCTGAAGCCAGGAGCCAGGAACTACATTGGGTCTGCCATGCGGGTGGCAGGGACCCAAGTACTTGCTTTCATCTATCACTGCTGCCTACCAGGGTGCACAAAGCAGGAAGCTGGAGTCAGAAGAGGAGCCAAGACTTGCACCGCAGGCCTTCCTTTATGGGATGTGGGCATTTCAAGCAGTGTCTTAACCAGCACGTGCAATGCCTGCCCTGAAAAAGTTAATTTTAAATAATGATTTTTTTTTTAAATAGAAATAAAGGCTTCGAAAGGTATGTTTCTTTTGGAGGATGATGAAGAAATTTAGGTCACATTGCTTTTGAGGAAATAATCTTCAGAATTGCAGCAATTGAAATCTTGGACTTGAGTTCAGAAGAGGTGTCAAAACTGCTGGGAATCAACTTTCCAAGCTAGAGTGAATTAGTATAAGCTATTAAAATTTAATTAAAGTTAAATAGAATTTAAATTTTAGTTCTCAGTCATATTACAAGTGCTTAATAGCCACACATGTATAGTGGCTACACTGTTATTCAGCAAAGTACAGAGCATTTCTATCTTCTGAGAAAGAAAGTCTGTTGAGTGGTGCAGTTAAAAGATCGGGAGGGGAGAACCAAGGAAAAGAGCAGGTAATTTCAAGAGGCAAGGAATGAGTAGTTAATATCAGTCCCACAATGAAGGTAAGCTGAATAGGAAATAAACAATTTCATCATTAAAAGTTATTTAACACATTGATGGAGATGTCTTTATAGCCATGAAAAGTACAGTGTTTTTTTTTTTTTTTTTTTTTTTTTTTTTTTTTTTTTTTTTTTTTTTACAGGCAGAGTGGACAGTGAGAGAGAAAGAAAGGTCTTCCTTTTACCATTGGTTCACCCTCCAATGGTCGCTGTGGCCAGCATGCCGTGCTGATCCAAAGCCAGGAACCAGGTGCCTCTCCTGGTCTCCCATGTGGGTGCAGGGCCCAAGGACTTGGGCCATCCTCCACTGCACTCCCGGGCCACAGCAGAGAGCTGGCCTGGAAGAGGGGCAACCAGGACAGAATCTGGCGCCCCGACCGGGACTAGAACCCAGGGTTTCGGCACCGCAAGGCAGAGGATTAGCCTAGTGAGCCGCAGCACCAGCCAGAAAAATACAGTTTAAGAAGGAAAAGTGGCTTTAAAAAGTCCAGCATTGGGCCTATATTGAGGCACAGCAGGTTAAGCCTCTGCTTGCAATGCCAGCATCCCATATCAGAAAAATAGTTCAAGTCCTGGCTGCTCTGCTTCTGAGTCAGCTTCCTGCTGATGTGCCTGGGAAAGCAGTGGGAGATGGCCAGAGTACTTTGGCCTCTGCCGTCCATATAGGAAACTTGGATAAGGTTCCTGCCTCCTGGCTTCAGGCTGACTCAGCTGTTGCTGTGGTGGCCATTTGGGGAAATGAATCAGCAGATAAAGATCTTTCTCTTTCTGGCTCCCCTCCTCTCTCTGTCACTCTGCCTTTCAAATAAATAAATCTTTAACAAATTTGAATAAAATTTTAATCTTTATATTTTAATAAATCTTTAAAATAAAAAGTCAATCTAGTGGAGCTGGTGTGGTACAGCAGTGTAAGCCACTGCTTGTAATGTCCATAATTCCATAGTAGAGTACAAGTTCAAATCATGGCTACTCCACTTCCAATCCAGCTTCCTGCTAATGAACTGGGAGGCACCAAATGATGATCCAAGTTCTGGAGTCCCTGCTACCCACATGGGAGACCCGAATTTCATTCCTGGCTCTTGCTTTGGCCTGGCCCAACTTTGGCTGTTGCAGGTATTTGGAAATGATCAAGAGTATGGAAGTTAGGTCTGTCTGTTATCTTTCTCTGTTTCTCCTTCTCTCTGTCACTTTGCCTTTCAAACAAATCTTTTTTTTTTTTTAGATTTATTTATTTATTTGGAAATCAGAGTTACACAGAGAAAGGAGAGGCAGAAAGAGAGACAGAGGTCGTCCATCCGCTAGTTCACTCCCCAGTTGGCCGCAATGGCTGGAGCTACGTTGATCTGAGGAGCTGTGCCAATCTGAAGCCAGGAACCAGGAGCTTCTTCCAGGTTTCTCACGCGGGTGCAGGGTCCCAAGGACTTGGGCCATCTTCTACTGCTTTCCTAGGCCATAGCAGAGAGCTGGATCAGAAGTGGAGCAGCTGGGACTCGAACCAGCACCCATATGGGAAGCTAGCACTCCAGGCAGCAGCTTTACCTGCTACACCCAACACCAGCCCCCAACAAATAAATCCTAAAATAAAAAAAGTCCAGCTAGTCTTAAAAAAAAGTCCAGCTAGTAGAAGATGAAACAGAGGAGTGAGGCATCAGATGTGAAAGAACATTTGACAATAATTAGGAAGTATCAGTTGATTATGTCAGAGTCATTGACATTTAAGCCATGATGACCAGGAAATCTTTTCCAACACACTTCTTACTGTAGTTTTCCTTTATTTTCTGGTGGATTTTCTCTCACTGGCATTGTTTGAGATTTACCTACCAACAGCTTTCCTTAATTATACTTGATTTAACACCTGTCTTTCTAATTAATCCCTGCTTCTGCTGAGACATCAGAGGAAATCTAAGATTCTCATCCTTTCATCTACCTCTGTGTGAAATGGAGGTCTTGGGGCTGGTGCTATGGCATAGTGGGTAAAGCTGCTGCCTGTAGTGCCAGTATCCCCTATGGTCACCGGTTTAAGTCCTGGCTGTTCTGCTTCCAATCCAGCTCTCTGCTATGGCCTGGGAAAGCAGTAGAAGATGTACCCGTGTTGGAGACCTGGAAAAAGCTCCAGGCTCTTGGCTTTGGATCAGCACAGCTCCCACCACCATGGCCATCTGGGGAGTAAACCAGCATTGGAAGACTTTCTCTCTCTCTCTCTGCCTCTGGCTTCCTGTAACTCTGCCTCTCAAATGAATAATTTGAAAATAATTTTAAAAATGAAATGGAGGTCTTTAAAGAACTTACACTTTAAAGAATTATTTTAAAATAATAGATTGGTTTCTGTAAGTGATGGAATTTATGATATTTATCATCCCTTAGGGTATTTTTTTAAATTATAGGCTGTAATAGTAATATATTCTCATTGTGGGGAAAAGAGCAAATGATTGAAAGCTTGTTTTTTTTTTTTTTTTTCTCAAAAGGTCTCCTAGACAATCCCCAAGATGGATAGTGAATGCATTTTTGTATTAAGTTGTACAAGTGAGCTCTTAATATGCCCTTCAGAAAGTATTATAGGGCTTAATCTTGAATATTTTCATTTTTTTATTCAGTGGCCCTCAGATTCTCAAGAACTTGATTCTAAGGAACTTTCAGCTGGCTCTCAGTTTGTAGGTCTCATGGCAGTTCTCACAGCATGTTTTTCAAGTGGCTTTGCTGGTGTTTATTTTGAGAAAATCTTAAAAGAAACAAAACAATCAGTATGGATAAGAAACATTCAGCTTGGTAAGTTGTGAATATTTTCTAATATTTTTACATCAATTATCTTGTTAAATTTAAAGATTATTTTAAAATAAGTAAGCTTGCCTAAAATCTTTTTATCCAAATACCTGGCAGTGGTTTTCCCTTTTTTAAAAAGTATATTTAAATGAATGATTTTTTACTCAAGAATATGGAATTTTAGTGGTAGGCATTTGGCCTAGTCATTAAGATATTAGTTAAGTTAAGACATCTGTGTACTTTATCTGAGTACCGAGATTCAATGCTTGTCTTCTGTTCTTGACTCCAGCTTCCTGCTGGTGCAAACCCTGAGAGGAGCAGTAATGGCTCAAATGACTGATTTTCTGCCACTCACAAGGCAGTCCTGGATTGACTTCTCACCTACCCCTTTGGTGTAGTCCAGCCCTGGCCATTGTGGGCATATGGGGAGTGAACCAGTGTGTAGAAGCTCTCCTTGTCTTTCTGTCTGTCCCTGCCTCTGTCTCTGCTTCTCAAAAAACAAACAAAAAAAGAATATGGAATTTTAGGTCTATGATATGTGGTATATAATTTCTTTCAATCCTTACATTTTGGAGCCCAAGTAACTTTATCCTTGGTTGCCACTACTTTCCTAATATAAAATGTATAATGTGTAATTCCAGAAAATTTTCGGCAGCTCATACAAATCTTGAATTTCTTTTCTATTTACATATTAGTAATATCTGACATTTACTAGTGCTTACGTCATGTATAAGCAAAGCGCTTTATTCTAAATACTTTACATGTATTATCTCATTCAGTTCTCATAGCAACATAGAAGGTAGGTCCTACCATTGAAGACTACATTTTGGGCCGGCGCCGCGGCTCACTAGGCTAATCCTCCGCCTAGCGGCGCCGGCACACCGGGTTCTAGTCCCGGTCGGGGCGCCGGATTCTGTCCCGGTTGCCCCTCTTCCAGGCCAGCCCTCTGCTGTGGCCAGGGAGTGCAGTGGAGGATGGCCCAGGTGCTTGGGCCCTGCACCCCATGGGAAACCAGGAAAAGCACCTGGCTCCTGGCTCCTGCCATCGGATCAGCGCGGTGTGCCGGCCGCAGCGCGCTGGCCGCGGCGGCCATTGGAGGGTGAACCAACGGCAAGGGAAGACCTTTCTCTCTCTGTCTCTCTCTCTCACTGTCCACTCTGCCTGTCAAAAAATAAAAAAAATAAAATAAAAAAAAAAAAAGACTACATTTTGAAGATAAGCTAAGTGAAGAAGAGAAAGCTTAAGTAACTTCTTTAAGGTCACTTAGGAAGAGAGATAAAATCAGTATTTGTATAAAATGTATACATTATACATTTGAATAAAATGTATGCATTTTATTTCTAGAAAAGGAAATTGATATACTTAAATGGAGGAAGTTTGAAATGATTTTTTTTTTTTTTGACAGGCAAAGTTAGACAGTGAGAGAGAGAGACAGAGAGAAAGGTCTTCTTTTTTCCATTGGTTCACCCGCCAAGTGGCCGCCACAGCTGGCGCGTTGCGGCTGGCTCACCACGCTGATCCGAAGCCAGGAGCCAGGTGCTTCCTCCTGGTCTCCCATGCGGATGCGGGGCCCAAGGACCTGGACCATCCTCCACTGCACTCCTGGGCCACAGCAGAGAGTTGGACTGGAAGAGGAGCAACTGGGACAGAATCCGGCACCCCAAGTGGGAATAGAAACCCGGGGTGCCGGTATCGCAGGCGGAGGATTAGCCTAGTGAGCCATGGCGCCAGCCCTGATTAATTTTTTGTTTGTTTGTTTTAAAATCTTTTTAATTCAAAGTGTTATGTTTTAGCTTGTAAATATTTCAGCAGGTTTCTAATTTAAGGTAAATAAAAGAACAACAAATCCCACATATTAAAGAACTACATTTGAACAAATATTCAAACTATTTATGGTATTGTAGCATTTAAATCCTCATAAGGACTTCTAGCATTTAGTATTCTGGTACATATTTATTTGGATGATGCTATACTATATAAAACTGGCCATGTGAGAAGAACTAATTGCAAATCAACATATTCTGTTTTATCCTCTGTCTTTTTGACTTTGGTGCTTCTCTTTGCTTAAGTTTTTTTTTTTTTTATTTAAAGATTTATTTATTTATTTGAAAGTCAGAGTTATACAGAGAGAGAAGGAGAGGCAGAGAGAGAGAGAGAGAGAGAGAGAGAGAGGTCTTCCATCCGTTGGTTCTCTACCCAATTTGCTGTAATGGCCGGAGCTGTGCTGCTCTGTGGAGCTGCACCGATCCGAAGCTAGGAGCCGGGAGCTTCTTCCGGGTCTCCCACGTGGGTGCAGGGGCCCATGGACTTGGCCATCTTCTACTGCTTGCCACCCTCCCAAACTGAGTTCTAAGCTCCTGGCTTCAGCCTGGCCTAGCCCTGAATGTTGAGGTATTTGGGAAGTGAACCAGTGAAAGGATGATGTCTCTTTCTGTCTCTCTCTTTCTCTCTCTCTCTTCTTGTCAAATATAAATAAATAAGCTTATACCTGAACCTTCATTTCATCAGGTCGGATTTAAGTTTCTCTGCAAAAATTGTAGAAATTTATTGAGTTCCTTTCCCTTAAGAACATTCAAGGTAATTATTTTAAAAGCAAAATTTAATTAGCTTATTTTTGTTTCATTTGTATAGAAAGTGCACAAGCTTTGCAAGCATTAAACAGTATCATTAACCATTTCAGACAGAATCTATATATATAGCAGATTGTTAAGAGCACTTTTTTTTTTTTTTTTTTTTTTTGACAGGCAGAGTGGACAGTGAGAGAGAGAGACAGAGAGAAAGGTCTTCCTTTTGCCGTTGGTTCACCCTCCAATGGTCGCCGCTGCAGCCGGCGCACCGCGCTGATCCGATGGCAAGAGCCAGGATCCAGGTGCTTTTCCTGGTCTCCCATGGGGTGCAGGGCCCAAGCACCTGGGCCATCCTCCACTGTACTCCCTGGCCATAGCAGAGAGCTGGCCTGGAAGAGGGGCAACCGGGACAGAATCCGGCGCCCCGACCGGGACTAGAACCCGGTGTGCCGGCGCCGCAAGGTGGAGGATTAGCCTATTGAGCCACGGCGCCGGCGCACTTTTTTTTTAAGATTTATTTTATTTATTTGAAAGACGGAGTTACAGAGAAAGATACAGAGAGATAGGTCTTCCATCCCCTGGTTCACTCCCCAAATGGCCACAACGGCTGGAGCTATGCCGATCCGAAGCCAGGATCCAGGAGCTTCTTCCGGGTCTCCCACGTGGGTGCAAGAGCCCAAGGACCTGGGCCGTCTTCTACTGCTTTCCCAGGCCATAGCAGAGAGCTGGATCATAAGTGGAGCAGCCGGGACTAGAACCAGCACCCATATGGGATGCCAGCGCTTCAGGCCAGGGCTTAAATCCATTGTGTCACAGCGCCGGCCCCAGAACACTTGTTTTTTGTTTTTTTTTTTTTCTTTTTTGTTTTTTTTTGTTTTTGACAGGCAGAGTGGACAGTGAGAGAGACACAGAGAGAAAGGTCTTCCTTTCCGTTGGTTCACCCTCCAATGGCCGCTGCAGCCGGTGCACCGCGCTGATCTGAAGCTGGGAGCCAGGTGCTTCTCCTGGTCTCCCAAGAGGGTGCAGGGCCCAAGCACTTGAGCCATTCTCCACTGCACTCCTGGGCCACAGCAGAGAGCTGGCCTGGAAGAGGGGCAACTGGGACAGAATCCAGCGCCCCAACTGGGACTAGAACCCGGTGTGCTGGCGCCACAAGGCAGAGGATTAGCCTGTTGAGCTGTGGCGCCGGCCTACATTTGTTTTTAAAGTCAGACTATTCAAATACTGATTTCATCTCTCTTCCTAAGTGACCTTAAAGAAGTTACTTAAGCTTTCTCTTCTTCACCTAGCTTATCTTCAAAATGTAGTCTTCAATGGTAGGACCTACCTTCTATGTTACTATGAGAATTAAATGAGATAATACATGTAAAGTATTTAGAATAAAGTGCTTTGCATATATGTGACATAAGCACTAGTAAATATCAGATATTACTAATATGTAAATAGAAAAGAAAGAAATTCAAGATTTGTATGAGCTGCCGAAAATTTTTTTGGAATTATAAAAATGGAAGATAAGTCAGAATTCATTATTATATGGTGCTTCATGGATCTCTTACTCTTTGTTTTGATCTCATAAGCACAGTGCTAATAGAAAAAAAGAGTAAGGTATCTGAGAGTTTTGAAAGGATACTTAAATAAATTATGGACAAGTCCAAATTACCACAAAAAAGTTAAAACAGTGTTTTAGCATTTTTCAAACATCAATTTATCAAGATAAGCAAATCGATGAGAGCCAATGTTTGCCAGAGAATAGAGACGTAGGAACTCTATTACCTGTGATTGCTAGGAGTATAGATTGCCATAATATTGTTGGATCTCAATTTGCAAATGTTTATAAAAATATTGAATAAATGTAGGTTTTGATGCAAAAATTCCACATCTGAATGAGAAATTATCCTAAAAAAATAACAAAGATAGATGTTCAGGGTTACTCATTTCAGTGCTGATTGCAATTGTGACAAATAGAAGAAAAAACTTAAGAGGACTAGTTAATAAATTATCAATATGATTAAATAGTGAAGTGGACTCCAGAACTACTCTACTCACATCTTGAGTTCATTATTTGCCAGCAGTATGAGCTCAGATAAGTTATTTAATTTTTCTGTCCTTCAGTTTCTTCATCTATAAGATGGGCATACAAGTATGACCTTATAGGGTTATAGTGAATTAACATATATAAAGCACTTAAAAAAATTCTTGACATATATGTTATGTATTTAATATTATCATCCAGACAATGGAATATTTTTAAACTCTTAGATTTCAGTAGATCTGTACATACTGACACATATGGTTTGTATATATCCTTATGTATCAGATATGTTTCTTAGTAATTATGAAGTGTTACTTTTTAAATATTTGTGTGTGAGAGAGAAGTGGAAAAAGGGACAGAGCTTGGTGCTGGCACTGTGGTATAGTGGGTAGAGCCACCACCTGCAG